AGGAGGATCGCAAGTTCAAGGCCAGCCTGGGACACTTAGAAACTTAAGGAGACCCTGTTTTGAAGAAAGGAAGGGGTGGTGGTGTCCTGGATGTAGCTCAGCGTGAAAACCCTGGGCTTAACCCCCAGCACCATAAGGAAGGAGGGAGAGAGGGCAACATTTCCGGCAACACCAGGATCCCCAGGGAAGCGCTCAGAGCGCCCCTCTCGGGGACGGTCTTGTCCCCCTCCTGGAGAGGACCAGCAGGGGCCAGTGGTGAGATTTGTGTGGTCCACGGTCACCGCGTTTGACAGCCGGATTGGCTCTGTGTGCTCACATAGACCCCTGCTTGGGGGTGTGGGACACCCTACTCCTCGCCTCTGAGCGGTGACAGCAGAGAGCCTGTTGCTAGGCGCCAGTCACACTGTCCATTGTCCCTGAGGCCAGAGTCTCGGGCTGCAGCTGTGACCGCAAGGACAGGGACAGGAGCCACCCGTGGAAGGACAGGGCTTGGACCAGGGAGGGGGAAGTCAGGCTCGGCCCCCACGGCCCTGCAGCTTTGCCAACGCCCGCCCGTGTGGGGCAGTGGGGGCCGATGGTGCGCAGTGCCACGCCTGCGGCACTTGGTGGCCCTGGGAATCTCTGGCTAAGACCTCTAGGTCTGAGGGTACAGAAGGAAGACGAGGTTTCTCCCTCATAAGTTCCTTCTAGGCGGAGGTGAGTGAGAAAGCGAGTCACAGCAAGTGTGGCCCGCAGGGGCTGTCGCCTGCGTTTTGAAACAGGGTCTGGCTGAGTCACTGAGTTGCTCAGGCTGAGCTCCAATTTGAGATCCTCCTGCCTCAGCCTCCTGAGTGCTGGGATTACAGGTATGTGTCACCACACCCAGTTTAAAAACATATATTTTAATGGGATTTTAGTTTGTGTTTTCTTTTTATGGTAAGGATCTGTTTCAAAACCAACCTGGGCAATTTAGTGACTTAGTAAAGACCCTGTTTGGAAACAGAAAATTAAAAGGGGCTGAGGCTGTAGCTCAGTGAAAGGTATCCAGTTCTACCCCAGCACCCCTTTTGGAAAAAAGAAAAAAAAACCTGAATGAACATTTTCAGTTCCTCAGCAATGAAGGCTCCGCAGTGCCTTCTGACTGTCCTCATCCTCTGTCCTTACCCGGGGCAGCCTCAGGATGGCTGCGTGGGCATCACACGGCTGCACCGGCCACAGCCAGAGGGCAGAGTCCCGAGGCAGCACGACGGGCTGGCTGAGGACCTGCCCGGCTGTCCCCAGCGCAGGGCAGAGAAACGAGCCCTAGGTATGAAGGCTGGGGGCCCCCTCCCCAACCAGTGGCATGGAAGCCACCATGTCTACCTCACCGACCCCTCACGTCTGGTGCTGGAGCCTGGCGAGTTGCCTGGCAAGTGCCTTGCCCCCCGCTTCTCCCTCCCTGCGGATGGAGCCCAGGGTGGGCAGTGCCCCGTCACACGTCGCCCTAGCTGTTTAGCCCCTAATACTTCCCCTACTTGGTAACTCCTCTCTTTGGCTTCTTGACTGTCCTTTCATGCACTAAAGCTCTGCAGTTTGTTTTAGTGCTGAAGGTGGAACCCAGGGTGCTGCCCACACCCAGCACCGCTTCACTTTAATTCATTTTTCTATGTAATCATCTGGTGGCAGTTATGTGGTGCTGAGATTTGAACCTAGAGCTCCACGCATGCTCGACTTGCACTGTCTCCTAAGCTACACCTTCAGGCCTAATTAATTTTTGCAGTACTGGGGGCTGAATCCAGGGAACACTGGGCTACATCCCCAGCTCTATTTTTTAATTTTAAGGCAGGGTCTTACTGAGTTGCGATCCTCCTGCCTCAGCCTCCTGAGTACCCGTTTATTTCAGTGGACTCCAGTGTATCTGCTCTTTCACTGTTGTTCCTGTGGCTTCTAGGCCAGGTCTACAATGTTGCTGCCAAACCCGATGCATTAAGATTTTCCCAGCGTTTTCTTGTGACTCCTGCCTTGGGGCTGCCATGTTTATGTAAAAGCTCCAAATGCAAGGCGCACACAGGGGCCCTTGTGGAGGGAAAGAAGCCAGCAACAAAGATGGCGCAATGGGACGCATGACCCCCAAGAGGCAGAGCTCCCCAGTGGGGCTGGACGCCAGGACAGCGCTGGCTCTGAAGAGGATGCTTGGGAGCCACTCGGGGGCCAGGGCATCCACAGGGTCAATGTCACGCTGAGTCCATGCGTGAAAGGCCCTTGCAAGCTGGACTCTGCTGGATGTTACACCGTCACTATTCAGCAAGAGGCCCAGGCCAGGTGGGGTGGTATACGCCTGGGATCCTAGCACTCGGCAGGCTGAGGCAGGAGGATCACCTCAAGGCCAGCCTGGGCTACGTAATAAAACTTGTCTCAAGAAAGAAAACAAAACACAAGAGAACAAGTGAAGTTAAATGTAATTTTATTCTTTTTCTTTTGTTCTGCTGCGGATGGACAGGTACTAGGGACGCGCATCCTAGGCAAGCCTCTACCACCACACCCAACGGCAATATCCCACACATCCAAGATGGGAGCATTTGAAGACGTGAGGGGCAAGCGGGGCCGTGGCCCACCCGTAATCCCAGCAGCCTGGAAGGCCGAGGCAGAAGGATCATAAATTCAAGTCCAAATTGGGCAACTTAGCAACACCGTCTCAAAATAAACAAAAGCAAAACCAACCCCTGGGGAAGCAGCCCAGTGTGAAGGTGCTCGGTTGAATCGAGCTGACTGCACTATCTTCTCTCTCCTTCCGAGCCCAGCACCTCAGGGCGGCCCGTGGCCGAAGTCCGTACAGTGTGGTGACAGCCAGCAGGGGCTGGGGAGACCGTGGTGGACTCACTGGCCTGCGGTCCGGGCCAGTCTTTCCCCTGGGAACAGGCCAGGGTCCCTGGCCCCCGGAAGCTGAAGAGGCCTTGAGGAGGTGGTGTCGGGGCTGGGCTGCACCCCACGGGAGCACAGCGCCCATGGCCGGACGTCACCTTGGTTCCGTGTCTGCAGCCCAAGCTGCTTCGACTTCCTCGGCAGGGAGCAGCTTGTTTTCAGTCTGGCAGCCGCAGGCCCACATCCTGGCCACCAAGCGAGCTGGACAGGGAGGGCGTCCTGGTGAGGGTCCCGCCTGCCACCCGTGCAATCCCCTGGGCAGCAGGGCGGGGAAGACACCCCTGGCCGGCAGGCGTCAGGGACCTGGTGAGGTCGGGCTCAGGAATTCCTGCTTCCCAGCGACGCAAAACCAAAATGCACACAGCAGAAACCGCACTCGGTCTGACTCCGGACCTCCTGGTGCTGACGCTGGCGGGGCAGCACCCCTCAGCCCTGGGATCACTGGCGGGGGCTGGGGTGCGACAGCAGCTGGGGTGCGACGCAGTTGACTTGTCAGCTTGCCAGTTACTGGGACATAACTGCCGTGAGCAGAGGCAACTGTACTCATGTGCTTCGCATGGCAGGACGGCTGGTATGAAAACTGTACCCCAATAAGGCTTGAAAACCAAAGCCATGCCCCACCCCTGCCCAGCATTTGGTAAGGACCAAGTCCTCTCTCACTTATTCCCCAGCACTTTTTATTTTTAGTGTTAAGAGTTGAACACAGGGCCTTCCCACTGAGCTGTATCATCAGCCTGTTTTTTAAAAAATATTTTGGTACCTGGAATTTTGTTTTGTTTTGTTTTTGTCTTTTTGAGACAGGGTCTCACTATGCAATTCAGGCTGACCATGAGCTCACTTTGTAGCCCAGGCTGGTCTTGAACTCATGACGACCCTCCTGCCTCAGCCTCCCAAGTGCTGGGATTACAGGCGTGCGCCACCACGCCCAGCTGGTAGCGGGAATTGAACCCAGGACCTTACACTTGCTAGGCAGGCACTTGTGCCGCTGAGATAGATCTCTAGCCCTCCAGCCCTTTATTTTTGGAGGCAGGGTCTCACTAAGTTGTCCAGGCTGGGCTGGAACCTGTGATCCTCCTGCCTCAGCCTCCCGCCAGGCTGTCTTCCTTTGCCTGTCCTGGCCCATGCAAAGCCAAACCGAGCAAGCTGGCTGTGAACGAGCTGCACATTGAACGCAGGCCCGAGACCCCGCTGGGGGAGTGGGGAGTCAGGGCAGAGCCAGGCCTGGCGCCTTCTGCGGGTGTGGGGGATCTGGACGCTCCCAGGAGGAACCAGCTTCACTCCGCGGGGCAGTGTGGGGCATCTGTGAAGTGAGACAAGAGCGCGGGCAGAGTACTCTCGGGGGGGGGGACACCCCGCGCTCCACGCTGGCGGAGATGCGCTGTGCTTGCACCCGCTCGCCTGGCCCTGCCTGGCCCCAGGGCCCCACACACCCCTGAAGGCTGCCAGGCCTCACTCGCCCCGCGGCTGCCCCGAGAAGCCCAGGGTCCCGCGTCATCGGAGTCCAGGCCAGGACCTGCTGGCGGAATTCTCCAGGTGCAGTGTCCTCCCCAGGGCAGGCGTATCTTGGGGGCCCTGACACTGCCCACCACGTCCCAGCCGGCGAGCACGGGCTGAGGCTGGGACCCGGCCCCCTGCACCCCTGCAGTCCCCGTCCATTTGCACACTTCGAGTGTCGGCCCAAGGGGCAGCCTCCCCCGCTGGGTGGGCAGGGTGGACGGGAACAGCACGCTCACCACCCACTGCCCCCGCAGCAGTGCCAGGTCGCGAGGTTCCGGGCAGTCACTGCCGGCACAGGCCCCAGGTGAACCGTAGCTGGGCTGCGCCCCGGGGAAGTCACAGCCACCAGACCTGCCAGTCTCCACCTGGGCTCCTAGCTCCCGGCCCCACAGGCCAGGGAGGGGTCGGGCCTCACTGGTCTTGAAGACCAGGCTGGACAGCAGAGAATCCGCTGGCAGAGCCAGGGGAAGGTACAACATCGTGACTTGAACACTTGTGACTTCAGAAGGGGACAGTGAGCTGGCAGGGGTGGCACACAGCTGTAAGCCCAGTACTCTGGGAGGCTGAGGCAGGAAGGTCTCAAAGGTAAGCCCAGCCTGAACAGCTTGGCAAGAGTGTCTCAAAATAGAAAGGGCTGGGGATGTGGCTCAGTGTGAAGACCTTGGGCTCAGGGCCCAGTACCGCAGAAAGGAAATAAAGGGCGAAGAGTCCAGACCTGGGGTGTGGGAAGGAAGCGGGGCTGGGAACAGTACCCCTGCGTTTCCAGAGCCCCCTGTGCTGCCACTGGGAGGGAAATAAACCGTCCCTGTCCCTCACTCCCACGGGCTGCTTCCCTGCCGCAGGGTCCCTGAGGAACGACAGGACCGGGAGAAGGGGGCAGGCGGGGGTGGGGTGACAGCTGCGTCCCGAGGGCCCAGGACCAGGGGCCCACGTGTCCTCACAGCCGGCGCCCCTTGGCCCGGCCCCGCAGCTCAGTAGGGCCGGAACTTGCGCTGGGCCCGCAGCAGCTCAATCTTCTGCTTGTCCTCCTCGAATTTCTTGCGCAGCTGTGCTAGGTCTGGGGACAGGAGAGAAACGGGGGAGGGGTCAGGCGGCACCTGTGCCCCCAGCGCACGCCAGGCCCCTTTCGCCTCCAGGGGCTCCCGCTGTCGCCTTGCCCCCCCAAGGGGTGGGGTCGGCCTGCATGGGGACAACCTAACCACAGGGCAGCGGAGGACAAGGCCGGCGGGTGCTCGGGAACAAAAGCAGGGAAAAGACGCCTCCAGGGGGAGGCAGGCCTCAGGAATCCGGAAGGGCCCAGCGCCACCGAGCTCCACTGGTGACTCTGGGCCCTGAGGGACCCGGGGCAGAGCGCAGCTGGCAACTAGAGGGCTGCGGAGGCTGCTGTCGGGTGAAGCCGGCGTCAGGCAGAGGGCCAGAGCAGGGCGGGGTGCAGAAGCCGCTGTCCTGCAGCTGGGACGCTAGTCGGTACCCACGCCGCGCACAGGGCCCTGTGTGCCCCAGGCTGAGCCGAGAGCCACCCCAGGGTCACTCCCGGCGCTGGCTGCAGGGCAGCAGGTTCCAGCGCTGCGGGGCGCCGGTGCCCGCGGCCTGAAGGACACGGCCCTCCCCACCCGGCCGCGCCTTACGCTCCATCTTGGTCTCGCGGTGCTGCCAGGCGTAGAAGTTGAGCAGCTCCTTGCGCGCCCGCTTCCGCCGCTCCCGCTCCAACACCCGCAGGCTGGCGGCCTCCGTCCGGGGCAGCACGGGCCGCCGGCCCCGGCGCGTCACCTTCACCCAGCCCTCCTCGTCGGGGACGCCGTCCTCCTCCTTGGCCTTGGCCTCCTCCTGCAGAGCACAAAGTCCCGGGGTCGGTGGGGCCCCTCACGCTGTCCCGCCCTGAGCGCCGCCAGCCGCTGCCGCCCCTCAGCCCCACGGCAGAGCTGGGCCAAGGCCACCTCTCCCCCCACGCCACGGGCCGCTCGGACTCTGTCACCCAGCCCGGGGCCCGGGATCCCCAGAGAACAGTGGAGCCCGACTCCACACAGCGACAGGGCCGGACCGCCGCCACCAGCCCGCGGGAGCCACACGATGCTGTGTCCCTCTTCCTCCAGCGACACAGGTGACCCTCGGTGGCCCCGGGGGAGCCCCTACCTCAGCGACCTTCTTGTCGTAGGCCTCCATGAACGTGTCCACCTCGACTCTTAGGGCCTCGGGGTCAGCCACCGAGTCCACATAGTCATCGATCCACTCTGAGAAGGGGGTACAGTCACACTCGGCAGGCCGCCCCTCGGGCCCCGGGCCACAGGTCAGGAGCTTGGGACGGGGCACAGGGACTGCGGACCGCGGCCGGGGGCGCAGGGGCTCAGAAGGTCCAGGGACAGCGGGCCAGGCCCACCCCCGCCCACCCTGCGCCAGACACAGCCCTGGCTGCCCAGGTCCCCCCAGGCAAGGCACAGCTGGCGGCAGACGTGTCCCCAGGAAACCGCCCTCACCAACCCGTGCCCAGGAAGGGGCACCGGGCACTGCCGGCGGTACTGACTGCGAATGCCACTCTGCACCGGGTGACTCTCAGTGGAGACCAGCAGGGGGCCCTTCAGCGTCAAGGCGGCGGCCACTCCGCTGGGCCTCTGGAACACCACGTAGGCCACCCGGAAGCCCTGCGGGGAGGAGCCAGTGTGGGCCGCGGCCCTCATGCCCGCATGGGGTCCCCAGCTGCCCTCACCCAACCTGCGGCTGGACGGGGAGGTGGCTGCTCCAAGGCCTGAGATGACCAAAGCCACTCCATGTCCAGGGGGAAGACAGCCACACTTTGTTTGGGGACCCTGGACGCCCTCATTTCAGGAGGGTCTTGGCGAAAAGCGCGCTCACGGGCGCCAGGACAGGCACGGGAGGGTGATGGGCACTCGAACCAGGGGCACCGTGGGCTCAAGGGACCGGGGGACACAGGAGGAGCAGCGCTCCTGGGGACCGAGGCCCAGGGCTCCGTGGGAAGCAGGTGGGGGCTCGGGGCCATGCGGGGCGGCGGGCAGAGAAGGTTCCGGGCTCTAACATCGGGCACAGCGAATGCCTGGCAGGGGCCTAAGGACCACAGAGAGCACCCGGGGAGCGGCCAGCCCGTGTCCCCACGCACACGGGGACGCCACCCTGGCCCACCCCACACCCCATGCTGCGCGACTGGGGACTGGGAGCCCTACCGGGAGGGGCTTAGGGTGGAAAAACTTGGACTTCGGTTCCTTTGAGCTCTCCGCAAGGTCCGGCTTCTCCTGCAGCTCCACAGACTGGACGGCGCCGCAGGGGGACAGCAGGCGCGACAGGCACTCCTGCAGGGCCAAGGGCAGCAGAGCGAGTGACTGCGGGGCAGCCGTCAGGGCCTCCCTACCCGTGCTGGTGACACCGGCAGGCCACAGCCCGAGTCTGACCGGGCCCCACAGGGACACTGCTGAGACAGGAGTCCCCACACCCCGAGGGTTGGGGTAGGCGTCCTTGTGACTGTAGAAAACACTTAAGTTTTACTACCTGAGTCGGAAACAGAGTCAGACCTACACGGCAGGGTGAGGAGCGCGACCCTGGGTGGCAGGGCTGGAGGCCACTCTGCTCAGCCCGGCTGCCGACTGCACAGCAGGTTCAGGTTCCCAACAGCCTCCAGCTGAACACCGACAGCCTGGCCCCCCTCTCAGTGCCGCGCCCCATTAACACCCCCTTTTTTTGGTACTGGGGGTTGAACCCAGGCCCTTGCACTGAGCTACACCCCAGCCCTTCCTTTCATTTTCTGAGACAGGGCCTTGCCAAGGTGCTAAACTGCCCACGTGAGGGCTTGAACTTGCAACCCTCCTGCCTCAGCCTTCCAGAGTGCTGGAAGGACAGGCATGTGCCACCACACCCACGTTAGAATTACATGTTTAAAAAGCCAATTTCCTGCCACAAGCGAGAGAGATGGCTTCTGGGTACCCTCCACTGGGCTCCATCAGCAGCTCCTCCCCACCCCAAGGACCTGGTAGGGGCAGGGAGCCCTCTTCTGCCACAGGCCAGGAGCTCACCTCCGAGCAGTACGGCGGCACATTGAGGACAAACAGGGTGCGCTTCTGCGGCCAGCTGGACTGGGCACCTTGGCGAACTCTGTGTTCCCTGGCATAGAGGTAATGAGAAGCCTGCTGCTTTTCTGAGAACTTGATTGGAATGGCTGGAAAGGGGACAGGAGGCATGAGTTCAGACCACCCTGAGCTGAGATCAGCACCCAGCTCACACCATCTCCTTTCTCCGTGTCCCTCCTTGTCCTGCCTGTCCGTCCATCCTTCACTGAGCCCGCCTCTAGTAAAGCCTGCGCAGGCTTCAAGAATCCATCCACGGAGGGCTTCCGGCCTGGTGGAAGACCGCGTGGCCGGCAATTCTGACGGATGGGGGCAGTGAGAGGGAACCCCACCTCTGCGGCTAGGGGGAGATGCCCAAACCCCGGCCTTGAGGGAAACCATGTGTGACCCTGCCTGGCACTCCTCCCCACCTTGCACCATCTCCCTCGGCACCCCGATGCAGTCACCCCAGTAAGCCAGCCTCAAACACAATGTTCTCTCTGCGAAGCTCTGACCCCTCCTCCCTCACCCCTCAGGGCTGTCAGTCTGCAGGTCTACCTATTGGGGTGGGGCTTTTTAGTTAACCCTGGACATTCTACACATGCTAATCTCCATAAAGCTTGGGACTGTTGCTTGGCTCCCCGCCCCCCACAATGAGGCTATAGGTCCAGTCCCCACATTCAAGAAGTTCACATTGTTTTTTTGAGACAGGGTCTTATTACATATTGCAGGGTGGCCTGGAGCCTGCAGCGATCTTCCTGCCTCAGCCTCCCAAGTGTAGGTATTACAGGCATGAACCACCACCCCTGGGCAGAAAGCTCATATATTCTTGAACCAGACAATAACTGTTTGTGTCAACTACGGAAAACGCACGCGCAGTGATAGGATGGCAGAGAACTTCCAATAAGCCACTAGAGACTGCTTTGTGTGTGCGTGGGGCGCGGGTACTGGAGCCCGAACCCAGGATCTTTGCTCTAAGCTACAGGTCCAACTTTTTTTTTTAATTTTTAACTTTGAGATAGGCTCCCGCTAAATCGCTAAGTTGCCCAGGCTGGGCTCGAACTTGTGCGCCTCCTGCCTCCGCCTCCGAGTGCTGAGACTCAGTCGTGCGGCACCGCGCCCGGCGAGGGACTGCCTTTTTGAGGAACGCCAGCACCCAGCGGGGCTCGCCCGGCTCACGGCGCCCACAGACGAGAGAGGAGCGCCGCGTGGGTCCCGAGCCTTGGGGCCGCCCGAGCGGCCGGGGCCCGTGGCCCCCGGGACACGCGCGCAACCAGCCACCGTCCGCCCCCTGACCAGCTCATGGCGAAGCCCGATCATCCTCCGGCCTCACGTCCCCGAGCCGCTCACCTGAGTAGCCCGGCGGGCTCGTGAGGCGCCCCTCGGGGTCCCCCGCCGCGCGTTTCCTACCGCGCGCCACCATCTTACCAGCCAGAAGCGCAGGGGCCACTGGGAGATGTAGTTCTGCACTGGGCGCGGGCGCGTTTCTACGGCGACGGCGCCGCGCGGGCCCCGCCCCTCCGTCCAGCTCACCTCCCTGGTCCCACCCCACTCCGCCCCGCCCCCGGAAGCCAACCATCCATTGCCCAAAGCAAAAGTGAGTGTTGATCTTGGCGGCTCAGGGATGCGAAGTCAACCTTCCCTTTTCTCCTTATTCCATTCCACCCTCCCTCCTTCCTTCCGTTCTTCCTTCTGCCGCCACTGTCCTAAGCGCTATAGATGCAGAAATGAACACACGTCCAGTCTTTCTGGAGTTTAAATTCTCACAAGGAAAGAAACAGATACCGTGTGTCACTGTGTTACTGCAAAAGTGTAGTCTTACTCCGTAGTTCAGACAGGCTGTTGAACTCACCATCCTCCTGCCTCAGCCTCCCAAGTGCTGGGATTACAGGTATGCGTCACCATGATCAGTTCGTGCGTTTCTTTCGATGACCCACACTATAGTCTGTGTATAGACCATGAACACTTGAAAAGAACGTACATCCTGCCAGTGAGGGTGTGTTCTATGTTGATGGATCTCTTGCCCAGGGGTGGTGTTGTACCAACTGTGAGAGGACATTGGGGCTGGGATGCAGCTTGGGGGTACAGCGCTTGCCTAGCATGCTCCGGGCCCAGGGTAGGACCCCAACACTGATGGGGTGGGAAGGGAAGGGTGGCTTGTTTATTCTTCCAGCCGGCAGGTGGTGAGGGCACGACTGTCTATTTGGGGGACAGACGCCTTCACTACACAGTACCCCTCCCCCACACATGCGTAAGTACTTAGTGACAGTGTGGAGCCTACATCTCTTGCCTTGAGTTTTCTATCGGATTCTTGGGTGTATCTCTCTTTAGGGGCTGCTCTAAGAACTACATAATATGTCCATGTGACCGGAGCATACGGTTAGCAACATTTTAGAATCATACAGCTCATACATGCAGTGTAGAAAGCTTCCTTTTTAGGGTTGGGGGTTTAGCTCAGCAGCACAGCGCCTGCCTGGCAAGTGCAAGGTCGTGAGTTCAATTCCCAGTACCAGAAAAAAACAAAACCGAAACAGAAAGCTTCCTTTTCATAACCTTTCCCCTCCCATTTATAACTTTAAAATACTTTCTCTGCACATGCTGAGACCATCAGTTGTTGTAATTTTGCTTCAAGTGTCAACTGTAAGTTGGAAGACTTGAGATTGTCTACAATGTGAGGCCCTGGGTTCAAGATCCAGCACCACAAAAAGAAAAAGGGGCTGGGGATTTAGCTCAGCGTCACAGCAAGCATGACGTCGTGAGTCCAATTCCTGGTATCACAAAAAGAAAAAAATTCAAGAATTTATTGACCCATAGTTTTATTACGTTGTGCTCCCACCCCACACCCATGTTGTTTCCTTCTTTTGGCTTTTTCCCTTAGGTTTATTTTTTTCCAAGACAAGGTCTCACTATATAGTGCAGGCCGGCCTTGCACTCACTACATAGCCAAGGCTGGCCTCGAACTCGAAGCGATGGGATGACAGATGTGCGACACCACAGCTGGCTTTTTATTTTCCAGACAAGTTCTCACTAAGTGGCCCACGCTGTGTTGTCAAACCTGCAGTCTTCCTGTCTCGGCTTGCTGGGTAGTTAGGATTGCAGGTAAGCTTTTAAGTCACTCTTTTAGGGTCAGCCTGCTCGCACTGAATCCTAGTTTCATCTGAGAATGTCTTGATTCTTTCCTTCCTTCCTCAAGGTCATCCTGTATTGATAGCTGTCCTTTTTCACTGAGATTTTCCTGGTTCGTGGTGGAAGTGACTCTCAGTGACAGCACGCGCACCCTGGGTGTTACGAGGCCTCCCGGGTGACACCTCCCAACAGCTCAGGCAAACAAAAACCACAGCCACCCCATTCCTGCCAGGTGTAGGGAGTTCGCCTCTGCTCTCGGTATCAAGACACCTGTCTGGCTTTGCTACTGCTAAGTGGGGGCCTTGCATACACCCCACGGCCTCCAAGACACCAACCGTGGAGGTTCGCGGGCGCCCCACTACAGCTTGGTGCAGACAGCCAGCTGGGCTCGCAACTGCCTGTTGCTGCAGCTTCTTGCTCGCATCTGGAAGGGGTTCTGTCCGGACCCAAGAGGACAAACCGCTTGGTTAGGTCCCTGCTGGGGTTTCCCGGTTGATGGCTTCTCCGGCGTCTGCAGGGAAGCAAAGCAGAAAGCAAAGCCAGGAGAGCGCTGCTCATTTCCTGGATCCCAAGGTCCCAGCCCATCTGCCCTCTTCTCTCCACCTCGGGCTTCTTTTGAACATCAAAGTTTATTTGCAAGAAAACTGAAAGATCAGAGCCACCTTCAGTAGGTGTTTTATAAAACTCAGGGCTGTTTGGTGGGAAAGAGGGACAATCACTTCCCACCCACTTCTACCACCACAAGAGCAACCGTAAATAATCCTTTCTAGCGCCACCTTCACTCTTGAGGTGACCACGCTGAGGAGAGGCCCCGAGTTCCCTGTGGACACTTCTCCAAGTCTGGGGCCCTCCCAGCTGTGCAGGCCAGGGAGTCCTGCAGTCAAGCAGGCGAACTCCTGCTTCTGGAGCCAGATCCCACCAAAGCCGCGTCAGCACAATCTTTCAAGAAACCAAGGTAGGGAGCCAGGCGTGGTGGTGCACGCCTGTAATTCCAACACTTGGGAGGCTGAGGCAGGAGGACTGTTTCGAGTTCAAGGCCAGCCTGGGCTACAAAGTGAGATCAAGACCAGCCTGAACTGTATGGTGAGACCCTGTCTTAAAAAGACAAACACAAAAACAAAAAACCAAAGTAGGAATAACAAATGTTTATTCAGAAATGGTAAGTAATACAGTCACCTCCGTCCCTTACGCTGCCTCGCCTTCTGAACCACACAGATGGGCAATGCCGGCAGGTGAGGAGGACACAGTGCTGCCCACGGCTTCCTTTCTGCTCGCCAAGGTGACATCCGGCAGGGCAGGGCAGGCGGACAAGGCGCCCTCTTCCCAGTAGACCACTTGGCCAGGAGCTGGGTGAGCACAGCCCGCTGGCTGGGAAGGGTGCAGGGGAGGGCGGGCAGGGGAGCACAGGCAGGGTATGCGCACCCCGAATCGAACCGAAGGCGCCACCTAACCCCAGGACATGAGAAGCCAGGTCCCAGGGCCTCCTAGGTCTCTCGGGCAGGAGGGCGGGGTGGGAGGAATGTCTTCCAGCCCCACAGAGAAACTCCTGCCCCACCAGAGGGGTGAGGTGGAAAGCAGCGCTTGCTGAAGAACAGCGACTGCAGCCCACCAGGCCCCTTTCCTGGGTTCGCCGGCACAGGCAGCCTCGGAGCTGAGCACCAAAACCAAGGGCTAACTGGTGCCATCCCTCAGGGCAGGCGCCAGGCCAGGCCAGTGCCCCGCACAGCATGCACTGGTAGTTCTACGTGGCTCCCAGGGCTGCTCCAGACCGCCACAGCCCTGCCAGCCCGGAGTCCTCTCTAGGACACTCATACCATGTCCTGTAGTCCTGCGGGGAAACCTGCCACCTGCTGCCAACAGCGAAGACAGTGCCCCCGGGCGGCACATGCTGCTGGTGTCCCTGACTGCTGGCCTGTGGACAACCACGGCCTGAAAAGGCAGAGCCAGGAACAAAGCAGCATCTCCCACGTGGATGCCCCAAGAGCCACAGCGCTGCAGAACGCAAGGCAGAGTCTTCGACGGCCTGCAGCGGTCACTGTGACTGCACAGGCCTCCAAGCCGAGGGCAGGGGCTCTGTGCCCAGGGCCCTGCAGAGGTGGCTGTGGTGAGGGACAAGGACATTGCCACCGAGCGGTGGGCACTGGGCTAGTAGCACTGTTCCTGAGCTGCCCGGCTCCCATCAGCACAGCTCCCGGCCGAGCGGTAGTGTCCCAGTGCTGACCCACACCCCGCGGGCCACACAAAGCCGGCCAGGCCACTGAGCACACTGCTTCCAGGTCAGCAACTGGCTTGAGGGGAGGGCGGGGGACACCCCAAGAAATACACCCTGCCCGGCTGACATGTAGAGGGGGAACGATGTACTACAGGAAATGTGGACACAGAAACAACACAGGTAGACACAACACAGGAGAGCGGGTCCCATCCAGCAAGGAAGCTCGACCCCGGTGACCCCACGCCAGAAGCTGCAGTTCGATGACCACCAGTCACCAGCTCGGCCGGAACAGGGCCACCCTCCTCTGCCCCACTCCACGCCTGCCTGCCCTGCTCAGAGTTTGATCTTGAACTCTGTGGGCTGTGTGGTCACGGAGGCCCCGGAGGACTTGAAGAGCGCCTTCAGGATGGTGTCCGGGTCCACCTCGGCAGGCGGGTTGGCAGAGGAGGCGGCGGTCAGCCTCCGAGGCAGCTCACTGTCCTTCTTCACCAAAGGGCTGTCACTCAGTCGCCTGTGCAGAGCGTAGAAGAGAAAGCTCATCAGGGTCCCGTAGCCGGGAGGGACCTTATGCTCTGGGACCTACTAGGCGCTGGGCACAAGGCCCTCTGCAGCCCACCCTCATTTCTTCCTGCAGCAAACCTGCTGTTTTCCCTCTTTACTGGTGAGAAAACAGATGCAGCCTGCTGTACTCTGAAGCTATAAGCTCGGCAAACACTGTGGTTCTCTCCTGGACAGGGACACACATGGGTGCATCACACAACCGAGGAGACAGCTCTGGTTAGCCCAAGATCCCCAAACTCACCAGGTCAGAAAACCCTAAAAACCAAGTTCTCCCAGTGTTGGGAAATGAACAAGATCTTGTGCATGCTAGGCAAATGCTCTGCCACAGAATTACATCCCCAGCCCTAAAAACATTTTTAGAAGCCAAATGTGGCAGTGCACACCTGTAAACCCAGCACTCAGAAGGCTGCGGCTAGAAGACCACAGCAAGTTCAATCGAGGCCAACCTGAGCTATACAGTGAGTTCCAGTCCAGCCTAAGCTGACTGTGGTGGTACACGCCTTAATGCCAGCTCTCAGGAGGCTGAGGCAGGAGGATGGCCATGAGACTGAGGCCAGCCTGGGCTATACGATTAGTTCAAGGCCAGCCCGAACTACACAGCAAGATCCTGTCTCAAAAGAAGAGAAGCGAAAGACTGAGGCAGGAGGACTGTTGCAAGTTCGAGGTCAGCCTGGGCTACAAAGTGAGCTCAAGGCCAGACTGAACTGCACAGCGAGACCCTGTCTCAAAAAGAGAGGGGAGGGGCTGGGGATTTAGCTCAGCGGCAAAAGCGCCTGCCTGGCAAGCGCAAGGTCGTGAGTTTGGTTCCCGGTACCGGAGAAAAACCAAAAACCAAAAAAAAAAGACAGGGGAAAAAAAAACTGGAACCTAATTTGCTCCTGGAACATACTGAAGAAATCTGTCTAAATCCCAGGACTCATTACCCAGGTTAAACCCACCCCTCAAAGCCTACCTGCCCAGCCCTGCCCTGCTCCCGCCCGTCTGCCTCTGTGTCTAGAGGAGGCATCCTGTCAGCCTGAGAGCGTGACGCCTCCTGGACCCGAAACGAGCCCTCAGCTGTGGGCCAGCAGAGCACGCCGCGTTCGGTGTGCAGAAGCTTGCAGACGCACATGGCTGGGCGGGCCCACAAGGCGGCCGCTCGCCCCTCGGCTCTCAGCAGGTTAGGAGGAGGACACGGTGCCAGCCCCTGCAGAGCCAGCCCCAGGACAGAAGTGTCTGGCTGAGCACGTGCCAGCGTCCTCGCGCAGAGGGGACAGCACGCACAAAGCTGCATCGCCCAGCTGCCCTGCAGGACCAGCAGTCGACCCCGGCCCCAGCCCCGGACTCACAGCAGGATGGGCTGGTCTGAGGTGATCACATTCCCGTTCATGTGGAGGTTGCACTTCATGGGCTGCCCTGAGAAACCAGAGGGAGAAAAGGCGTGGCCGTGACTCCTCTGCTCCGCACACGGAAGAGCAAGGGACAAGGGCCCTCTCTGCCCCGAGGCCACCCCTGTGGTGCGCTACAGCCTGCCCCAGAGGCCCCAGTGCGGAGAGCTGTCTCGGAGAATCCTGGGAAGCGGGCGCTCAAATGAGGTGCCCTGCTCGGCCCACTGCCTGGGGCGATCAGACGACTTCTGCAGGTGCTCCTGTGGCAGTGCTATAGGCCACAACGGAACACAGGGAAACGTGAGAAACCCTCTGCATTCTCTCTATTTTGAGACAGAATCGTACTACTGCGTTGCGCAGGCTGTGGTCTGAGCCAGAACCGCGGCGCTCCCTACAGCGGTCTACAAGACACGTCTTGCCCTCCCAGAGTGGGGGTGGGGGCGCATCAAGGGAGACGCGGTGCAACGCCATGCTGAGAAAGCCTGGAGCAGCGACACCAGGGAAGGACATGTAGACTTTTAAAGGTGCTGCACAAGCCTGGCACGGTGGCTCACACCCGTAATAATCCCCGCGCTCAGCAGGCTCCACAGTGAGTTCAAGGCCAGCCTGAGCGAAGGACAGAGCCAGACCCTGACTCAAAAAACCAAAAAGCAATGTTGCAAGAAATAAAAAAGGAGACACTTTCAACTGTGAAAGGCCAAGTCATTAGGAAAAAACAATTATAACTTAAATAGAGCCTTAAATACACAAAATACATGAGCCAAACAAAACACCTGTTCTTAAAAAACATCCACAGGATAAAAGCTAACAGAAAGGGAGAGAGATGTATACAACAATGGCTAAAGACTGCGACACGTTCGATAAAACGGCTAGCACCAGCAGGTGGACCAAGACCGCGCCGCGAGACCAAGGACACGGCACCTGCCACGCACAGGCAGAGGCAGAGCCCTGTGCACAAGGGCAGCACAGCACCCTCGCCTTCCTCAGAGGGAACTGTGGGAAACTCATAAATGTGCGCGAGTTAAGCGACCCTTAGCAATACAGCCAAAGAAATCAAAAGGGAGATTAGAGAACACTTCAGTATGAACGGAGATGAAGACAGGAGCTAGCAAAACCCACAGAAAGAGCCGGGTGTGGCAGCACAAGCTCGAACGCCAGCTGCTCAGGAGGTTGGAGCAAGAAGCTGCAAGTTCTGAGCGCCGTGAGTCCCTGCCTCAAAATTTTAAAAAGGGGGAAAGGGTCCAGCTCACTGTGAGGGGCCTGGTCAAGCCCCAGAACCACAAAAACAGGAAGAAAGGGCGGGAGGGAGGGAGGAGGCTCGCTATCCGGGGAAACGTAAGAACCCACTGTTTTTCTCAGCCTCTGCTCCTCGCTTCTAGCACCAGGCCCCAGCCCACAGTAGGTCCACAATGAAGGCGGAAGAACTGGTGAGCGGCAAAGGGCGTGGTACAAAACCCGTCCTCTCTACGGCCGCCCCAGAGGAGCGGAGCTCGCCCAGGTGATTAGACCCGGCTCCAGCCCTCAGGAGCCCGGGGCCTGGCAGCGAGCGGGCCCATGTCTGGTGCGAGCCCAGCAGCCTCAGAGACTGCCCCGCCTGCTCCTGCTGCAAGGAGGCCATGGAAGGGCAGCCGTCCCGGACCCCTCCCCACCACTCACTGGCCCCCGCCACTCAGAGGAAGCTGCCCGACAGGGCCCGCCTGGTGCCTTCCTTCTCCCCACTCACCGTCCAGACAGCGGTTGTTGTACTTCTTATACGCAGTGATGGCGTCGTCCTTCTTCACGAAGACCACCTCTGCCACCCCGGGATGGACCAGCCGGGCTCTCTTGAGGGCTCCGCACACACAGAAAAGCTCCTGTGAACAACAGCGGGGCTAAGGGGACTTCCCGAGACGCACGGGCCCTCCCAGGCCAGGCCGTGTGGGTGGTGAGACAGGCGCCCGGGCATCCTCGTCCTGGGGGCCTCCTGGGAGGGTCACAGTGAACAATGTCCCTCCTGGAGCTCGGCTGCGGCTCGCCCAGCTCAGGACCTTAAAGGCCTCCTGGGAACCTGTGAGAACTCTGAGCACCTGGGCCCCACCCAGGGTGTCCGACTGCGCTGGGATGAGTGGATTCAGGTCTCCCAGCACCCAGACTGAGTGCAGACACCTGACGTGTCCTAGCCAAACTGGGACAGCACAGGTTCTGGTCCCTGGTGTGCCTTCTAGCGCTGTGAGCACCTGCACGCCACTTAACCTCTCAGAGGCCATCTCTTCTGAGAACCAGGCAGGTCGCTGGAAGGCTCAACTCAATCACTTTTAAGGCAGTGCTGCACACATGCTGCCAGCGCCCTGTTCTCCAGTCGGGGCAACCATGCCTGAGAAACCCTGTGCAGGCGCAGCCTGGGCGGCTAGCACTTGGCCAGTCTTCATCTGCAACCGCCTCCCAAGGTTGTCACAGGGATAGAAAGAAGTTTGAGAAAAAGCCCTCAAAATTTCTTTTTAACAGTAAAGGGGAAAACATGAAATACGAAAACCAAGGCGAGCCGGGCGTGGTGGTGCACATCTATAATCCCAGCACTCAGGAGGCTGAGGCAGGAGGATCGTTCTAAGTTAGAGGCCAGCCTGGGCTACAAAGTGAGCTCAAGGCCAGCCTGAACTGCACAGTGAGACCATCTCAAAAAGACAAAAAAAAAAAAAAAAAAGAAAAGAAAACCAAGGCCGAGGATCCTAGGTATGTTCCCAGCATCAGTACTACCGTAGAGTTCTTTTATTTTCTCCGTGGTAATGAGCACGGAGTCCAGGGCCTCGGGCATGCTAGGCAACCCGGTGCCTCCCCAGCCCTCTGAGCATTTTCTGAGACAAGGTCTCACTATGAGCCCAGGCTGGCCTCCAACTTGCAGTCCTTCTGCCTCCACCTCCCAAGTAGCTGGGGTTACACCCTGGGCCACTGCACCCAGCTCTGTTATTCTTTACAGGTACCTATCTGGGGAGAAGAGCAGTGATTTAGGGTGATTATTACTGGCAATTTTCTGGGTGGTAATCATTCCCGGTCTTTTCTAAGCCCCTTCACAGAAGCGCCCGGCACACAGGAAGTGCTCTGGGAGTGCCGGCCGACCTCCCTCCTTGCTCTGGATGAGGCCTCGCTCGGCCTCTCAGGAACGGGGTGACAGGTGCACACTGCCGCGCCCCCACTACTGCTTTTGTAACCTGTAAGCTGCTGTTCTGCAGAACCTCATGGGTGAGCGCGGGCTGCACATCCTGCGCACTGGGCCTGCGTGGCTCCAGTCCTCCGCACACTTCACAGCGAGGGCTGGCGGGTGCCACAGCGGGCGTGAGCGCTCCGACCCCGAGACCGCCCGCCAGCTGTGCCAGCCGCACTCGTTTTGTGCTGTGACCGCTCAAAGGGTGCCTGGGTTTCTACCTGTCTAAGGAAGATGCGGCTGAAGCAGTAATCTGGCTGACCCCAGGCCCCACTTTCCAGGCACGTTACCTGGGTCAGACAAGCTGGGCCAGAAAGGCAACCAACCCATTGGGCTTTTCAAGAAGCACCACCATGCCACACTCAGGCGGCAGGAAGTGTAGAAGGCGGGGAGACACCGCGCAGACGCTGTGCAGGGCAGTGAAGGAGCCCAGCAAGGACCCACAGGGCACAGACACTGCGAGCCGAGGCCCACGGGAGGCAGGCGGCTTTGGGCTGAAGGGTGTAGGGCAGCTGGGTGGAGTGGCACACAGAATTCCGGCACACTCCAGGCCGAGGACACCTGTGACAGCTCCCCGGGAAAGGCCGGGGCAAGGGAGCCGCGGTCCCGTCCTCCTCCCTGGGCTGGAGGAACCTCAGCCCTCAGCACGGCCACGCGAGTCCCCTCATCACACGGTGGTCCCGGGCTCCTGCGCGGCAACAGCAGCTCCAGACTTGAAGGACGCAGGCACAGTACTCACAACAATGTCCTCCTCGGTGACTCGAGGGTGCAGGTTATTCACAGTCATCTTGGTGCCCTCCAAGGGGCTGAAGACAGGCTGGGCGCAGAAAATAAATAAATAAAATTTTTAAAATTAAAAAGAAAAAAAGCATGAGCGGACATGGCAAGGCGGGGTACCCTCACCCCTGCTCCGGAGCCCATCAGCGCCAGGACGCACCCTCAGGCCCCCGCACCCGCGCTAAAGGGGCAGACCACCCTCCCACACGGCAGGCTCTTCCTTCCGGCTTCCGCGCAAAGCCAGCTCAACACCCAGCTCGGGGCAGAGACGCTCCTCCCTCGCGGCTGCGGGAAACCGCACAGTGCCTCTACACAGTGACCGTGGGCCTGGGTCTGCACCTCCGTAAAATGGCGGCGAGCCTACTCCCAAACTTTTCAAGGACCCACGGGGTGCACACAGCGCACTGCTCACCTCCGCAGGCGGCGGCTCTTTGGGGGACTCCTCCTTGTTCACCAGCGTCCGGGACATGTTGGTCAAGGCTTTGGTTCGAACAGAGGCGGGCAGAGCAGGAGCAGTGTACGCATCATTCTGAACCACTTTGGTGAGAGGGAGAGCCTTGGACACGGAGAGCTTGGAACTGCTGAGCCCGGCCTGCAGAGGCAGAGGGGGGCTGAGAGGCCAGACCCCGGCTCTGCCGAACCAGGCCCAAGGGGCTGACAAGCACGTGAGTGTGTGAATCCTCAACGCTTCCGGGCCCGACTCTATTAGTCGGAAGCAAGTAAGGCCACCACTGCCAGGGATGCCCCCGAGGAGGGCAGAACGGCACACGGCCGAACACTGCTCACAGCAGCCGCTGTGGCACCAGCCCTCCATGGATGGACACCCCCCACACGGCGCAGGCTTTCCCGGCCGCACCACACAGGCTGCTCAGAAGGCCCAAGCCCGAGGCCAGGCTCACGCCTCCACAGGCTCTTCCCACAACGCTGGCCCCCAGGTCTAGGCTGGCTGGGCACAGGAAGTCACGCTTAAGATGGCCCAAAGGCCCTGGTACTGGAAAAAAAAAAAACAACAAACAAACAAAAAAAAGATGGCCCAAAGCCCCAGCCTTCTGGAGCCTGATCTAGACACCGAGCCACCATGCAGTCCTGGGCTTCTCGGCACAGGCAGGCCAGGGCCATATCCGTGGAGTGGAACATGGAGACCACCCGAAGCGGTCCCCACCGAGCTAGGGATACAGCCCCGACAAACACGAACTCCCTCACGCTGAGCGTGTCCAGTGAGTCGTGCGACGGACTGGTGGTGGTCTTGCTGACTCACGACAGGCTTTGCAGGCACCGCGCCAGGGACAAGGGAGGGACACACGGCCGGCGCACCAGGCCTCCGCAGCTGCCCACGAGGTGCCCTCCCCATGGGCTCCGCATTTCAAGCCACTTCCTGCGTCTCAGGAGCCGGGACAAGGCAGCGGTTCCGCACGGCCCCCGGAGACACACTACTTTGGCTCAACAGCTAGATCTGCGCCTGCTAAGCTGCGCAGTGCGGAGCAGTTTCCTGAGGTCCCCGCGCAGGCTTCCTTATCCGTGAACACGCACAATGGCGCCCATCAGCAGGAGGAGGGTCCCGAGCGAGATGCCAGGCTGCGTCCTCAGTGAGGGCTGCCGTCACTGAGCCAGCACGGTTCCCTCAATGGGACCCCGGGGATCTAATTACTGCAAAGGCCCGCGTCCTGGACAGAGACAAACGGGCAGCACGCAGCTTTTCACAGCACTGTGAGGGCTCAACCAGCACTCAGAAGGGGCCCACTCAGAGGAAGACCGAAACGGGTCTGCAGGCTGTTGAAAACAGAGGTGCACGCTGGGGAGCAGGTGGGGAGCCCCTGCTGTGCTTAGCTGCGCCATCCCTGTGGTGACGCGGGAAGACTGGCACCCTCACCACCAGCTTCCCCACAGAGCTGCACCTGCGGGAGCCCACCAGTCAGGCGGGGCTTCTTATTCCTGTCAACTCCAACCCGGGGAACCCTGAATCTGAGAGCAGGCCGAAGTTCCTGACCGTGGAGCGCCAGGAGCAGCGTCACTGACCGCCACAGAGAAAAGCAAACAGGTTTCCTTCCCGTAGGGTTATCCCGGCTTTAGTTTTGCTGGCCCCTCCAAAACTAACGCTGAGTCTACCTTCCGCAGAGCAGTATTAAGAGGCGGCACCTGTGAGAGGCGTTCTGGACACCAGAACGCCCTCACAAATGGACTGGGCTGCTGCTGCAGGAGGGGGAGGACTCCCAGGAGTGGGCTCCAGCAGATTGATGACCTCCCCAACCCTGGTCTCTCCCATGCCCGTGGTTCTTCCGGTACCGGCCATCAAACTCACGACCTTGTGCTTGCCAGGCAGGCACTGTGCCACTGAGCTAAATCCCCAGCCCCCATGCCTGTGGTTCTGCTTTCTTTGACAGAGAGGCCTTCCCAGACACGGCCCCACGACTGGACGTCCAGCCTCCACAACTGGAAGCAGCTTGTGGTGCTGTCAGAGCAGAGAAAAAAGCTCCGAGATGTGTTTCTCTCACGTGTCGAAGACGCAGCCCCGGGAGCTGCGGCTGCACACGGAACTCACTGCGGGACCCATGTGAGACCAAGGGGCCGTGCTGCTTGCGGCTCTTAAGTCTCAGAGCCCCAATCACTGAGAGCCCTGCTCACGGCACCACCTCTCCCCCCGTGGGGCGCAGGGGGAAAGAAAGGAAAGGAAGCACGCACCACGTGGTGGAGAAAGCTGCCAGGGGCTGCAAACTTCATCTGCTTGGGAGGGATGTGCGCTGTCACCTCCTCATCCTCGTCCAGGTCATATAAATTCTGAGAAGGAAAGGAACATCTGCTAATGTGGCCTGCGGGCCACAGCACAACAGGAACAGCTGCTGGAGGGAGGCGGGCTGGGGAGGAGGCAGGCAGCTCAGGAGCAGGAGTGGGACTCAGGTTCTCTCAGGGTGACGCTCCCTCTGGCCAGTAGAAGCACTACAGCCTACAGGCACGTTCTGCAAGCAGCCGATTCCCAGCAAGTCTCTGAAACGTGTCCACAGCCTCGTCGCTTCAAGTTAGGGACTCGCTGGGAAATCAGCGGCCATGTGAACGCCGCAGTGCACACACACAAGCGTGGAGGGCACAGCAACGCCACCTCCGCCGCGTGCTGCAGACCGATGTGGGAGCCCACCACTGCTCAGACGTCATGCTCCACACGCGGCTCTATCTTCTTTGGCTTGGAAAGGTCACCCCAGGTAATCTCACCTGCTAACCCCAGCAAGTTTAATCCACAAAGATGCTCACGGCACAAAGATGTGTAACAGTGAAAATGACTGGGGAGAATCTGGAGCGTCACCTAATGGAGTCCACAATATGAACAACGTTCACAGTGAACGTGAAACACCAGAAAGCTTAAGTCACAAAATAAAAATATAAATTAAAAAATAGTGGGCCAGGCGTGGTGGCACACGCTTGTAATCCCAGCACTCAGGAGGCTGAGGCAGGAGGATCGCTGCAAGTTCAAGGCCAGTGTGGCCTACAAAGTGAGCTCAAGGCCAGCCTGAACTACATAGCAAGACCCTGTCTCAAAAAGACCAAAAAAAGAAAGAGAAAAAAAAAAAAAGAGTAGGCACAGCACAACAGGGCTGGGCTGGGGGTACAGCTTGGCAGCACAGTGCCAGCCTACCAAGTGTGAGGTCCTCAGTTCGACTCCCAGTACCAAAAAAAGGCACAAACTAGCAGGGCACAACGATATGTTCCTTTAATCCCAGCCACTCCAGGAGGCTGAGACAGGAGGACTGAAGACTCAGGGCTAATCTAGAAAACTTTTTTTTTTGGCAGAACACTCAACTTTGTTTTACTTATATATTTAAGCATCCTAAAATATTTTTCTTGCTTTGACCAAAAAAATGAAAAATACAGGAGCACTGACTCCTCTTTAGGAGAAAAGTGTTACATACAGCTATGGAGTTAGGGTTCCTCCTTTATATACAAAGGAAAATACTAATACAAAAGTGCTTCGGTGATCAAAAAGGGCTACGAGCTGCAAGCATTTATTCGCACTGCCTCAGACCTAAGAAGCGCACGTCGTCCTCTTGGCGCCTGTCACTGGGAACTGCACATCTCCAACTGCACTCGCGCCTCCATGCCTGCACAAGAGCACGCAGCGTGTGGGGAGCAGCGCAGCCCTCTCACTGAACGTGGACGCCGAGCAGCCTGCCACTGTGGGAGCGGGCCATGCTCCAGACGCTCGGGTTTGGCCGGCCTGACAGTGCCAGGGAAGGTGTCTGGGCCCCGTGTTAACCACAGGCAAGGGCATGCAGCAGCCACCTTCCCAAGGTACAGCCTGCCTCGGCCAGGAACGGCTTCCAAAGGGGACGAGGAGTGCCGGGAAGGGTGGGACTTCAGCGTTCCCCGAAGCACGACCTGCCCTGTTAGGAGTCAGCAGCTCTCAGCAGAGCCCACACGGCCCTTCCCCAAGAGGGAGGGAGCGAGGCCCACAACAGGGAGCCAGCCCCAACTGCTCTCGCCCTTCCCCACACTCGCCTCCGCTGCAAGTGTTCTCGATTTAAAGTTTTTTCAGGACCACGTCAAATCCCATTGAGGAAAGGGCCCTGAATGTCCTTCAAGCCATTCCACTGCTCAAGGAACCCTGCAACTATCCTCTCACTGCTGGTCCAAGCCAGAGCCAGGCGCTCACTCAGGAAGCCAGGAGTAGGGTGGCAGACTACCGGGCCCTCTGTGTACCCCCAAAAAAGGAAGGAGGAGGAAGGCAGGTTGTGTGGGGACTTTTCTAACTCTGAACCCTAATTCTGCCCTTAAGCAGGAGATCTACCATTTGTTTGGTTTGGGGATGGAAACTTTTGGAACCCTGTGTCTGGATTTCTCTGTGCTGGCTGAGGAAGAGAGACTGTTTGGGGGATCAGGCCCTGGACTGGGGCTCTTCGGTATGCCTGAGCTCACAGTCTCAACAACTTGGCATGACTTTTGCCTCAAAATCTAAAAAGGGAGCGGGTCTGGGGGGGCCTGGAGATGTAGGTTAACGCAAAGGCTCTGAGTTTAATCTGAAGAGCCCAAACAACACAAGCTAAACCCCAAAAATCTAGGATGGCAGTAGGGCAACATTTCAACAACAGCTAGCTTTGGAGAACACGCACAGGAACTTTGTTTCCTTTTCATGTGGTACGAGGGACTGAACCCAGGGCCTCTGCACTGAGCTGTAACCCATCCTCTTTTCTGCAATTTTGAGACAGGGTCTCATTAAGGTCCCCAGGTTAGGCTTACACCTGGGGTCTTCCTGCCTCATCCTCCCAGAATGCTGGTATTACAGATGTGTACCACCATGCTGAGTTATTTTTTTCCTATTTTTGCAAATTTTCACCAAATATGTAATTTTTGTAATAAATTAATAGCCAGGGGTAGCAGCAGAGTATTTCACATCTCAAAAGAAAAAGGGCTTGCTGGGCATGGTGGCGCATGCCTGTAATCCTAGCACTCAGGAGGCTGAGGTAGGAGGATCATTGTGAGTTCGAGACCAGCCTGGGCTACAAAGTGAGCTCAAGGCCAGCCTGAACTGCTTAGTGAGACTTGGTCTCAAAAAGACCAAAAAAAGAAAAAACAAAGAAAAATGTTCTTCTTAAAACTCAACAACTGCAAAATGTCAAATGTAATTCCTCCTCTACCTCTCGGAGCTGGGAGTCTTGGGCCAGATCTAATGTGCGCACATGTGCATGCACACACAAACACACATTCACACACCTGTTTGGCCTGATGGTTGTTGACAACGTTGATCCTCATTCCGGCGGGATGGGCATGTAGTGGCACTGTGGTCTTCTGCTGTGGAACCTGTAAACACCCAGTGGTCACCAGTCTGCCCCAGGGCTCATGCATGTCCTGCGGTGGCTGTACAGCAGGGACGTCTGCTCCATGGGCTGCACAGCACGGGCAGCCTGAGCCCACATGGCTCCGTCAGATATGCCCACTACCAAAGCTGCTGCAGAGGTGCAGTGAGGCTGCCCCTTTCCTCTGGGCTGGGGACTGGGGAGGGTGGCCGGGGCACGGGACCAGCAGCCAGTTCTGACCCGACACCCGCCACACACACACTTTGGTACCAACATCTGGGAGAATTTCACTTTTGCCCAAACCATCCTGTCTACACCACACAGCTTCCCGCCCGATCCTCCTGCCTTTCTTCCTGTTCTGCTAGGGCTGCAGACAGCAGCGTTCCTACCTGGATGGTCTTGGTGAGCTTCAGGGCGGGGGTCACGGTCCCCACAGGCGGGCTCGGGTAGGCGGAGGGCGCGCTCCTCTTCAGGCTGATCTTCTCGCGGGCGTCAGCCACCTGCCGGGGCTTCTGCAACACTGTGCTCTGCTGCTTCCGGGAGTTCAGCATCTCTCTGGCATCCTGCACTTTCCCTTTGATCCGAAACCGGGCATCTTTCTGCAAAAGCTTCTCCCGGGCGTCTTTGACTCCCAGCTTGAGACGGGCATCTGCCAGGCCGATCTTCTGCCGGGCGTCAAACCTCTGCTGGAAGGTGGCAGTACGTGCTGGCTGGCTGAGAAGGCTGTGCTGGATCCCAACTCGAGCGCGAACACCTCCCAGGCCCGGCCTGGTGTTGAGCCTGCAGAGGCAAACTGCGACAGTGAGCGATATGGGTGTGGACGGCAGTCTGCAGAGGCCGAGGGACCCTGGACATAGGGCACGTCTGGAGGGACAGGAGGGCTGCTCCTCCACATGCCCAGGTAAACCACTAAGCCTACATGAAGATGTCTTCCATTTTCCTGTTCTGTGGTTTTAACTATGCATCACAAGCAAAATTCACCATGATATGTCTGATTAAAACCAGACCCACATTCTTTCACCACTCAAATAAAATCAAAATGGATCAAAGATCTAAATATTAAAACAGGAACACTAAATCTGCTGGAAGAGAGGTAGGTACAACTCTTTAAGACATTGGTATAGGCAAAGACTTTAGAAACAAAACCTCATCGTACCAGAAATAACACAAAGAATCAACAACTGGGATCTCATCTTAGTAAAAAGCTTGTGAACAGCAAAAGAAATCACCAACAGAGTAAAGAAATAGCCCATAGTGTGGGATAAAATTTTTGCCAACTGTTCCTCAGATGAAGCACTAATATCTAGAATATATAAAGAACTAAAAAAACCAGATCCTCCAAGATCCAACCCTAAAATGGACATCTGAGACACACACTTCTCAGATGAAGAAGTACAAACAGCAAATAAATATACCAAAAAAGTTCAACATCACTGGTCATTCGAGAGACACAAATTAAAACAATGCTGAGATTCCATCTCACCCCCAGAAAGAATGGCTGTTATCAAGAATCAACCAATAAAAAATGCTGGCAGGGTTGTGGGGAAAGGGACCCTTCTCCACAGTTGGTGAGAGTGTAGACTGGTGCAACCACTGTAGAAGTCAGTGTGGAGATTCCACAAAATCTAGAACTAAAGGTTCCATTTGACCCAGCTATTCCCCTTCTGGGTATATTCCTGAAAGAATTAAAAGCATCACGCCACAGAGATATACACACACTCATGTTTACACTGGCACAGTGTGTAACAACTAAATGTTTGAAACAACCCAAATGCCCAGCAACCAATGAATGAATAAAGAAGATGTAGTTTTGGAAGGATAAGCCTGAGACATTCCTAGGTAAATGGATGCACCCTGAGACCATACTCCTAAGTGAAGTACATCGGACACACGTTTACATGACACATTGCTTCTGGTGAGAAACTGAAAGTGTAAATAAGAACCAAAATGAGTAACAGATATTGGGAAATAGAAAGAAAATGTTAAAATGAGAAGCGGAACAAGGTGCAGGAGAGGAAGAGACAAGAAAAGAGGGCTGGGGATATAGCTCAGCGGCACAGCACCTCCCTGGCAAGCACAAGGTCCTGACTTGGATTTCAGATCCCCCCACCCTCCGAGGGGGGGGGAATAGAAGGGAAAAAATGGATACAAAGCTTTTGTAAATAAGGAGAGGGGAATGGGAAAAAAAGAAGATATATTGTGTACAGGTACAAACTCCCTATGGTGAATGTTATTATTATGTATACCTAAAATGTACCAATAAAAAATTTTAAATGCAAAAAAAAATTCACCATGATAGACACAATCCAAGAATGTCAGGAAAGCAAAATTACTCCCAAAATATCATAAGCCTACTGAGCACAGAGCAACCTGTTCCCAAAGCTCTTCCACACCCACTCGCAGCACCCCAAGGAGAAGCACTGGCCGCACCTGTGTCACAAGGACAGCAGCAGGCCTGCGGGGTGCGGGACCCACCCAGGTTCCCTCTAACGCAGACGGACACCACCCACTGGGCTGGGACCCAGGGAGCCACATGCGGTCTCACTTAGCGCCAGGGGACTAACACAGCTAACAGAATAAAGTACAGTCAGAAAAGAAAAAGGAAGCTGCTGTGCAGTCAGAGTGTCAAATTTCAGAAAGTATTAAAATTGGCATCAAACTTCCTGAAACAGCCCCCACCTGGGCCTTCAGCAGCTTGAGTGTGAACACAAGGCCCTTCCCACTGTGACACCGGTCTACGGTCTGTGGGCTTCTCCTGCCTCGGCACCCACAAGGCCTCTCTATGTCACCCCTATGCGTAGTGGCTCCTGCACCAGGTGCCCGCCTGGGGACTCCTGGGTCACTGTCGCCTCTGTGCTCATCATTACGTAGGTCTGATTCTTGGTTTTCTCTCCCCCAACCCCTAGCCTGGGAGGGGAGCACAGAATGAGGTTCATTCCTTTTTCAGGGCTGAGCACGTTTTGTTTTTTTTTTTAAAGACAATGTTGCTATGCAGACCAGGCTAGCCCAGGCTAGCCCAGAGCTCTCAATCCTTCTGTTCAGCCTCCCTGGCCCTTGGTTTATAGGTGTGGGCCACACGCCCAGCTAGGGACCACCAGCTTGTAAATGGTGCTGGTAGAACTTCTTAAATATCCAGCTGTCTAGATCCCAAAATTGGTGGGAAAACTTGGACTGTTTCTTGTGGTTTTTTAAATAGTACCGGAGATTAAATCCAGGGCCTTCCACTATATCCCCAGCCCTTCTTAAAATTCTGACACAGGGTCTCAATTGAGTTGCCCCGTCTTGGCTCCAACTTGGCCATCCTCCTGCCTCAGCCTCCCAGAGTGCTGGGACTGTAGGCACACACCACCACATCCACCTGACACGTGCATTTTCACAGGTCATGTGGGTGTGTGTCAAGGTTCCTGAACTGGTGTGTTAGAAGGTGAATGCTACTGGATAAACGAGTGCTCTGCTGGCCTCTGCCCAGAAGGCATCGCTCACCCTGGGCAAGTGCCTGGGTCGCCCTGCCTCAACCTTCTCTAGCATCAGGTGTCTGCCCACCTCCCCTCTGCTGATGAACAGCAGACGCACACTCCAAGGTGCGGCAACCTGGGACCAGTGAAAATAAACCTGGATCTCCAGCCCAACAGCCTTCGACAACGGAGAACACCTGCTGCAGACCTAAGGCAGCAACAGACTGGGCATGTGCCCTCACCGCAGGCTGCGAGGTTTCGGGGGTAGGGTCCTGGGGTGATTCGCTGATGAGGGTGGGGCCCTCAGGAACGGGATGGAGTCCACACCAAAGAGGCCCGGGGGCTTCCTGGTTCCCTCCCACCGTGGAGGACACAGGGAGAGCTGGCCTACAATCAACAAGTGGCCCTCACCAGGCAGATCCTGCAGCACCTCCATCCAGGGCTTCCCCGCACCAAGGGAAATAAATCTGCTCTTCATAAACCACGCAACCCTAAGCAGCCCTCGACGGGGGGTGCCCCCTTCCCCTGGAGAAACAGCAAGTTCTGGAGAAGCTGCATGTGGCGGCAGCCCACGGCTGTAATCCCAGCCCTCTGGCAGGCCAAGGCAGGGGGGTCACAAATTCATGCCCAACCTGGGCAACGTAGTGAGACCCTGTCATTCCCTCCCTCAAAAAGGACTGGCGATGCAACTCCGTGCAAAGGTCCTGGGTTCAATCCCAAAAACAAATGGGAACACACCCCCACCGCCCCCCCCCACCCCCGCGGGCGCGCTCGCGCACACAGACACAGAAATGGGAAGCATCTGAGAAGCAGAGCCCTAGAGACCGGATATGGAAGGGGCAGCACCACAGGAGGGGGGAGCAGCTGTGTGGCAGACGGTGCCCACCTCCCCAACTGTGCTACCTGAGGCTTTGTGGTCCATGGCCACACGTAGTTGGTGACGCACATCGTCACCTGTGCGCAAATCTGTATCTGCCGAGAGCTGGTCAGGGCCACCCTTCCCTACATCCTGTGTCACCCCTGCATGCAGCCTACAGCGTTGCAATCACAGTGGGCTGCCCAGAAGTCTGCAGCTACTCTGAGGGGTCCTCGGCGGCAATGGAAGCCCTGCCTTCAGACCAGCTGCCTCCCTGGCCTTTTAAAAACACTGTAAATTCTCCCTTATCTGTGGGTGACGCCCACCCAAGAAAACAGGCTATGGCTATGGGCTCAGACAAGAGCTGCTGCTGAGATCCCGCTCGGATTATGGGGAAAGGATTTATCATCTCAGTACTGGAGGGTGAAACTAAGGCCTTCGCACTGAGCTACCTCCCCAGCCTTTTTCTTATTTTGAGGCAGGATCTAGGTCGCTAAACTGCCTAGGGTGAGCTCAAACTCAAAAATCCTCCCGCCTCAGCCCCTCATAGTGCTGGGATTAACAAGCATGTGCCACCACACCCTGCAGTCTTCTTTGTTTTGTTTTTTGTCAGGGTCTCACTATGCAGTTCAGGCTGGCCTTGAGCTCAACTCTGTAGCCTAGTTTAAGCCTCAGGCTGGTCTTAAACTTGCATGTATCACCACGCCCAGCTAAGAAGAAGATTCTGATCAACAACTGCCATCCAGGTCCACAAGTAAGGAGAGCTAAAGGAGAGGCCAGGAGGAAGCTGATCGATCCTCAAGGGAGAAGGGGTGTTGTTTCAGGCTCTCCATTGAGCAGGCACCTCCAGTGACACAGGCTCTGGGCCAGGCCACCCAGTTACCAAAAGGCGGGTGGGGAGTCCGTCTCCAGGTGCTGTGGAGGGGCAGCCCGGTCTAGGAGGAGGCACAAAGTCCATGAGGGCACCACAAGCAACTGGACCGCAGAGCGCTGTCACCCACGGCATCCGGGAGACCTGGGGACAAAGCCCCTCTGCGGGGCCTCCCTTGCTCTGGTCCCGCTGCAGCCCCTCCCAGGCCCTCAGAGCCGTGCACGCAGCTCTATCAGTGACATGCAGTACTTGTCACGTCACCTGTGTGCAAACCTGCACCTGCCACAAGACCACAAGCTGGTCAGGGCCCCCTCCACCCTGCACCACCCTGCACAGGGCCGACAGCGGGGCAGGCACCCATCCCACTTCAGGCTCGGCTGAGCTGCGGCACCTCCACCCCACAGAGGAGCTGAACCTCGGAGCTGGGCACAGGGGGCTGCCCTGGCACCGCAGACTCGAGCCCACGGTGCCCATGCTGACCACCAGAGAAGCCGGCCCTCACCGGCACAGGCTACTCTGTGAGGGGTCCGGCTCCAGGGCGCCTCCCAGTGGAAAGGGGGCACCAGGCAGCCAGGGCACGGGCTACCCTAGCGTGGGC